GCGCGCGCTCGAGACGAGCGAGATCCCGGGCATCGTGGCGGACCACCGCACGGCCGCGGAGAACGCCCTCAAAGCGGGCTTCGACGGCGTCGAGCTGCACGCCGCCAACGGCTACTTGCTGGAGCAGTTCCTGCACGACGGCATCAACGACCGCGCCGACCAGTACGGCGGCAGCGTCGAGAACCGCGCGCGCTTCCTGTTCGAGGCACTGGAGGCCATCCTCGAGAGTCTGGACTCGTCCAAGGTGGGCATCCGACTGTCCCCGTTCGGCGGCAGCTTCGGCGACAAGGACTCGGACCCCGTCGCCACCTACACGTACGTGCTGAACAGGCTCAACAACTACGACCTGGCCTACGCGCACCTGATCGAGCCGCGTGGCTACCACGTGCGTGACCCGCTGGCACCCGAGAAGGGCTCGGCGCGGCAGTTCCGCGAGACGTACAAGGGCGTGCTCCTCGCCGCGTCGGGCTTCGACCGGCAGTCGGCCGTGCAGATCGTGGAGGAGGGCGCGGCCGACGCCGTGGCCATCGGCCGCCACTTCATCTCGAACCCGGACCTGGTGCGGCGCTTCCAACTCAACAAGCCCGTGAACGACTACGACACGGACACGTTCTACCTCGGCGACGCGCGCGGGTACACGGACTATAATACCCGTTCCTGCAGAACGAGTAGGTAGAGCAGTAAAGACGACGTAGACAGCAAAAGACGTGCTACTTCCGTAAGACTGCAAGGTGAAGCGTACTGGAGGTGGCTGCGTACTCTCAAGTAAAACAAATTGTTGGTAGTTAAAACTAGTTGCTGCAGGCACCAGGCACGTACTGTTACTGCCTCCGTGTGGGCTTGGGCGTCTTGTTGGATCACTTGGCGCGTTTAGTGGGACGGCTTCTTCACCCTCTTGGTTTTCACGTGCTCGTTTCTTGGATGTTTCCGTCTCGCCATCTTGATCGCCTAGTGGCCCTCACCACTGCCACCAACGTCACTCTCATCGTCACTCTTCTTCCTTGTCACCCGGCGCGTACGCTAGTGCTTTACGGGCGTTCTGCAACAACTTGTCGCGCTTCGCGGTAAGCGACAACTTTGCATACGAACTAACGTCCTTGTTTCGTTTTTCATCTTCATCGCGATAGTCCAGGTCGCCCTCCACAAGCCCCAGCGGGTCATACTGAGACTCCACCATGTTTGATAGCATGGAAGCCACGCCGTCGCTCAGGAACGGGTAGGTGACCCTGTTGAGTAAACGGAGGCAGATCGTGAAAACAGGATCCTCCTCCGAGACACTCGACACACTTGAGACGCCAGGATTGCTCTCGATCTTCGCCCGCTTCTTCGCCTGACTCCCGATCGTCTGACTCTCCTCCTTCACCTCAGAGGCGTTGCCTTTCTTCTTGGGCTTAAGATTGTCTTTCATTGTCGTGGCATAGATGAACTTGCCGTCACTCTTCCGACCGCGCACATTCATGTAGATGCGAATGGTATCACGGACATCCGTGGAGCTCAGCGGTTTCGGATCCCCACCAATTTCACCGGTAGATTTCCCCGCTGACGAGTTCCCATCACTGTTCTTTCCGAACACAAACCAGGGGCATAGTCTCTCCGTCGCTGCCTTGGAAAATTCTCCATCGACTGGGGAACGATTCTTCACTTGAATCAACATCATCAACACTTCCTGCTCCTCTTG